CTCACTGTACGCTTAATGGATGTCATTGTGCCTACGGCCGATACGGATAACACAGCAAAGCTGCATTGTACAGCAGGCTTTGCAGTGCGTGGGCTCCCAAGGGGAGAGGAGGGAAGAGGGAGCCCCTCAGGACTGCTCTGTCACAGCCCGATCCTGCAGGTCCACATGGCCACGGGCTGCGACCGCATTTCCTCTCTTTGGGAAGGGCAAAATTTGGAACATAATGTGTAAGCTGAAAAAAAAAAAATAAAAAAATAGGAGTGCGCTTGCGAGTGAGTTGCTGTGCGTTGGAGTGGAGCAGCATTCCTCGCACGAGAGGGGAGGCTGGGGAGGCGGGCTGCACGGGCTGCAGCCCTGTGGCTCAGAACGTCCCGGGGAAGCTGCGCAGAAAAGCATGACACAAGCCTGGAAACATTTAGGGAGGGGGCATGTTATTTTAATATCCTTTTTTGTGCTTAATAGAAAAGGGGTTTGTGGTTAATTCTTTATTATCTCCGACAGCAGTTCTCGCTTCGGCTCCTCTTTCTTTAACTGCCAAGCTAGCATTTTCCTTTTTTATTGCTCCTTTCTTCGAGGTTTGCTTTGGAATAGTGCCAGTTATCATTTCCCATTAGGGCAAATATTGCATCAAACTCATGATTAGGGATTTGAGGGCTTGGGAATATCGTTCTCTAACATTTGTCTTTCATTTTCTAAGAGTCTTTTTCTCTCCCTTTGTACACACAAATACGCACACATGCCTGTATATCTGTGGATATACATATGTGTATATATATTTATAGAGAAGGAGAAAGAGTGCGCTGCATGTGTCTGATGACATGGGTAGGTTTACACGTATGCACGTTATCTATTTGTATGTAAAGTTTAAACTTCTTTGCATAGACAAAGGAAAAGGGAAGAGCTTTCTCCTCACGTGAGATTTCAGAGGACTCGGAAGGTTAATAGAGGAGGAGAATAACAGATTTGTTTGTATGTTTTGGGTTAAATACTTCAGTTTTGCAGCGAAGGAAGGTGTTAAGAACACACACTGCGAGCGTGGAGATGAAGCCACTGCTAGGGAGCTGCTACCAGTTTTACCGACCCTACAAAGCCGGGGAACAACGCTGCCTATTTTTGAGCGTGCCTTTTACCGTACCTTTTTTATTACCTACCTGCATATATACATCCACTTCATGTCTAGCACATTCCTCTATTAAAGCAGCAATAAATATTACATTTCTAGAAATGAACTATTCTGCTGTATTAACATATGCTACACCGCCTATACTGAAGGACTATATAGACACTTAGGCTCTGATTTGGGCATCCTGACCTGCTCTTAAAAGGTGCCCGTTTCTCTTGGCTAAGCAAACAGGCCTACATGTCCTGAGGCAGACAAGAAGCTGTGCTGGGCACGTGCCCTGATGTGGGCTTCCAGGCATCTGGATTTTGGCTTAAGATACCTCTTCCTTCTCTTACCACCAACATTTAGGTGCTGCCGAGGTGTTCAAAAATCTTTCCAGCTGCCACCTATTTCTGACACTGGCTCACAAAACCCAACACCCCCTTTCAGTACCTAATTTGGGGGGGATTTTTGAAGAACGTATTTTTTTGCTGGTGAAATTTTGCTTACTCCCAGTCTGGGGGTAGGCACATTGCAGGTGGTTCCCCCCGCCAGCTGCCCTTGGGGGGCTGGGGAGGTGATGGGGGGCTGGGGGCAATGCCTGGGGTCCATGGTCCTCCCCCCCCAGGGCTTCCCACCTACCCCATACCACCCCCCACCCCCCCCCCACAGGAACGGGGCTCCCGAGAGCCAGGCACCATCCTCCTTCACACCCAGCAAATCACTTAACCTCTCAGCACGTCGGCTCTCGCAGCTGTTAACACGGGGAACAGTTTTATTTCACCTCCTCTCGTAAAGAGCATTGCGGCCCCGATCGACCGGGGCCCACAGTGTTATTTCCACTTACAGATAAGTTGGATTTTGGCAGCTGGTGAGAGGAAGGCAAGCACATTCATCTGGGTAAAATCCCCTGGCTGGAGAAATAGCCAACGGGAAAGTTTTATAAGGCAGGCACAAAGCAATATCAGCAATATCCAGAGCAAAGCTTGTATTGGAGTTGTCATTTTTGCTCCATCCCGGCAGTGGCTGGCCGGGGATTTGGGGGATCCACGGGGAGGTGGGAGCGGGCGAGATGTGGAGCGGTGCCGGCCAGCTCAGCTGGGGTGGTGCTGACTCTCACAGCTACCCGACAGGTTCCTAAATACATATATTTCCAGGCAGCCAATTTGTCTGCCTCCAAAAAATGTATTCTTCAAGGCTTGTTCCCATCTGCCAAAAGAAAACATGTTATTTAAAAAAAAAAAAACAAAAAAAACACAACACCCTAACATTGACAGACAGGAGTGTGTTGTTGAGCTAAAGCCCCCTGCTTTTACCTGAGCCAGGTGCCGGCACCGCGTGGTGAGACAGCCCTGTCACCTACATGCTTCATATTAACAGTCAGCTTTTAATCACGGTTCTCCCTGGCAAGCCGACAAATATTCTTCCCTTTACTCGCCGTTCACCTTCTTTTTCCTGACAAATACCGTGTTTACTTTATTTAAATTTTTGCAAAAATGATCCCGGGTGAAGTGACTCAAGCCATCATGCAGATTAAATACAGTGTCACCTCTTTTCCTGCTTGTAGTACAATGGCTGTAAGTTAAATTATTACAGGAATTTCAGTAATTTATGATGTAATTTCTACTGATAAACCTGTGTGTTTCTAGCTCTGCCCTGCTTCTTCTGTCCTCCCTTACTGAAAATAAAGTCATGGTTCCCACATGGGGAAGCTTCATGTCGAGGGAAGGTACAGTAAGCTCCTAGTTATTTTAGAAATCTTAAAGTGATTAAGGCAAAAGGATGGTTAATTATAATATTCTAAAAACACAGCTGCTAAAAAAAAAAAAAGTTTCAAGCAGCCACCAACTTGTATTATTTTGTCGTCGTCTTATGACATACTTACAACATATGGGAAAAATAAAAGATTAAATCTCTGTCCCCAAACTGCCCCCGCAGCCGTGCAGTCCTGGGACCAGCAACATCTCTGGAAAGGAGGCGGCTCGGCCCGACTCTGCCGGTGAGCGCAGGGGCGGCTGCCAGCCCTGTGTTCCCTCTCAGAGCCTTGAGAGCTGAGTCTTCTGCTGGCTTTGCAAAACATCAGCTGAGAAAACTGTGGCTAAATCAAGAGCAACCACAGTTTGCCAGGGAACAAATATCCCAGCCTTGGCCGTACTGAACTCCCACTCATGTTTTCATTTCTCACACACCAAGGAGATAAAAAAGTCACTGCTGGTATTGCCAGTGGGACTGAATTATGAAGCCCCATAAACATTTTCACACTGCCTCACTAAAGAGCGGCAGGCTTTTCTCTGTGCCGCATTTTTGAGGCTACCTCAGAAATAAATCTGCCTACAAAAGGAAACCACGGTATTTTTCCCAGAGGTGGACTGTGTTTTGGGTGGGGAAAAGGTCTCGCATTGCCAGTCTGTCCATGCGCCGAGGGCAAAGCGAGCAAGGAGCCCCATGGTGTGCTGTCGCACCCGGGGAGCTGGGCAACTGTTATTGTCAGCAGTTTTATTTCTGCTGGTGTGCTTAAAAAAAAAAAAAAAAACCAAAACAAAAAAAACCCCAAAACACAAACCCCCACTTTATTTTAAAACTAGAGATCAAGCAGGATGGCTTCTAACTAAGGATCAAGGTAGGCACTGCAGAAGGAACTATAGGCACTCAAAGTCGAAGTAAACGGCGGTGCAAACACTAACCAGAAGTTGTTGTTGCATCAGTGGGCACAGCAACGCGGTGACTCAGTGAGGGGAGCGGACTTCTATGTCCCGGTCTGACCACCCCATGGTTACACTCAAGCCAGAGGAAGCTAACGACCGCAAGCGTTAGCATGCCAGCTGTGGGTACAGAACAAGCCGCACATACCAGTGGTACCTGGCACAGCTCGTGCAACGTGGAAAGCCGCGGTGCAGTCTCCCAGTTACAGGAGACTCATCCCCAGAGGTTGCAAGGAAACGTCCCCGGGAGGACATGAAGCAGAGACTGGGGTCAGCAGCAGGATGAGGAGCAGTACCCAGCCTTCACTGCCGGCGTGTTTTTCCTCACGCTTGCCCTTCTCCAGCCCTTTTTCACCCGTGGAGCAGCCAAGATGCCACGCGCGCACACCGAGCTCGTTCCCCTGAACTGAGGCAGCAAAGTGGCGGTAGCAGCAGGGTTGGGTGGTGCCTCACCCCCAAACCCGCTCGGGCTAGTGGAGGTTGTCTCACTGACTGGGAGCTCTGGGACAGGCCCATAACAGCAGTGACGCCACCAAAATAGTCCCGTGGGCTCCCAGGGCTGCAGCTCCCGTCAGCAGCCACCTCGAGCCCCACACCAGCGCAGGGGACGGTGCGCTGGCTCCCTGCTCCTGCAAAAACCCACCCGCCCGCACTCACGGGGTTCTCCCACCGCTTCCCGTGAAAGGCTCATCCAAATACCTTTACTATCACTGTAGCTTGTCTTAACTCAGTATAACACAGACCAGCTTAACTTTATAGTGCTGCTTTTTATAGAGGAGCGTTTATTTCTTGTACCAACTCTCAAGGATGTTTTATCTGTTTTATATCCCATTGAATCCTCTGTGAAACTGCACTAGTTTACAATAATTTTATTACTTTATTAATTAAACGTTTTCCAACAAGCTAGCTATGGCATTTCTTATCATCAAGGGTTCCATTAGTTTTTAATGGTGTGAGACAAAATTACCATTTATCCACATGCAATTTAAGAAGCATCATTAACACAGAGAAAGCACCAGGTGGGATTTCTAATAGTTACTGTTTCTCATTTTTGTTTTTATTTAAAAGGAATAACTGGTTTTGAGGTTTTTGCTGCAAGGTTGCCAAATCCTCACTATGTTTTTTATGTTCAAGATAATTTAAAATAATGTTCTTCTATCTCCTAAGGCTCTTCTCCATGCTATTTCACTTATCAGCACATCGCTTGGTTCATACGCAGTGTCTCGGCGCAGCCGGGTGAGAGTGTTGTCTGCACAGTAATCACCAAGAACAAAGACTCATCTGCACGGTCAGTGAGCAGGGGGGTGTGAGTGTGCGTGCGTGTGCGCACACGTGTGTGCCTGAGATGCTGCCTGGGTTTGCAGGGGCGTGGGAGGGAGGGAGGGAGCTGAGCCGGGGCGAGCCCCAGACCGCCCGCAGCTACCACCTTGCGCGGCTCAGGGCCTGGGGGCTCTGACCCCGGGGTCCCGCAGAGCCCGTCCCACGCACGGCACCCCGGGCGATGCTCCTCGGCCACGCTCACCCACGGCATCGGGGACCGGCAGCGCGAGGACAGAAGGCAGCAACCTGCCTTTTTAAAGTTCTTGAGCAACTTTGACTCAGACCCTCTGCAAGGATACTGGTTTCCCATGTGAAAGACAATGGAAACTCCATGATTGTAGTAAATATTTACCTTAAATGAAATGGGGATAATTAAATGGCAACTTAATTACTATAGTCTATTCAATTATGCTGACTGTTGACTAATTGCTGACTCAGTCCATTTACATGTTAATAAATGTCTGTGTTTAAGGTCCATCCTTGGTTAATTTTCTAGGTTTAGCAGTATGAAGCGGAGTTGCCGGACTGTTTTTTTTTGTTTGGTTGTTTTTTTTTTTTGTTGTTGTTGTTTTTTGGTTTTTGTTTTGTTTTTTTTTTTTGGTGTTCCCCTGCGAACTCATTGCTTTTACTTAACTCAGTGGCCTTGGCACAGACAGACCCACCGGTGGCTGTGGGGCGCAGGGCGGGGTCCGAGCCAGGGCCTCGCCGCCGAGACGCAGCGCGAGGGTCCAGATGGTGCACGATCCCGGGAACCGCCGAGCGCGAAGCGCGCGGGAGGGTGTTAGGGATATTTAGTGGGATGTGTTTGACAAGGTGTTTCCTTATTTAAAGGGGAGGGGAGGAAAAGGCAGATGGTGTGGCTGTTTCTAATGACATTCCCTGGCTGGGTTTTTTAACAGCAGACATAAGAGGGGCACAGGCACCTGACGCGCCTGTCTGCTTGGCTGCTGGGAGGGAAGGGGATGCTGACAAAACAGGTCCCACTGCCGTCCCCGCTACCTGTTCTACCTATTTATTTCATTTGCCAGGGTGCCTGTGAGGCCGACGGAGGGCTCTGCCCCGGGGCCGGTGGCCCCATTGCCCCTGGTCCCTTCCCTGCTGCTGCGTTGGCCGCACCGCTCTGCCCCAGCACCGGCTGCGCGACTTGCGGGGGAAAACAGCTTGCTCTCCCAATGACCCACCACCCGCTCTTTCCTTCCCTGCACCTCTCTCCCTCCAGTCCCATCCCGTCTGCCTTCCCCGCCGCCTCGGCCCTCCGCTCGCCCAGGTGGCTGAGCCGTCGCCGCCGGTGCTGTGCCGCTCCGCGCCGCTGCGGGTTGGCGCTGCTGCCCGGAAACACCCGGGGCGATGCTCTGGGTAGGAGGAGGGGGGTTACAAATGATGTTTTCCTCTCAGAGGTTTTTAAGCACACTACAATCAGAAGCGGTCTGATATTTTTTTTTTTTTATGGTTAAGTGCGTCTATTAAAATAGCAACAAATTTTGCATTTCCTAAACGGGCAGATAATTGTTCCATGACGAAAAGGGCAAATACGTGCAGAGGGATGGCCTCTGCCTTAAACGCACGCTGAACTTAACTTCTGGTCAGACCAATTTTCTAAGTAATTTCACATGCAAGACACGGAACAAACGCTCTGACTATATATTAGAGCAAGAGGTGCAAAAATATCTTCCTGCATACTTCCATGTTATCCTGCTCCTTGCCTGCAAAGGGGCTCTGAGGGGGCTGTCCTGGGGCTGATGCCACTGCAAGCCCTGGCAGCAGCCACTGAAGTACCCTGCCCCCTCGCAGCATCCCCCCGTGGTGGGACGGGCCCCGCCACCCCCACGCCAGGCTGTGGCCAGGGACCCCCACGTCTGGGCCGGCGGCTGGCTGGGTGGGTTTGGAAGCAGTGCCAGGCGGGCGGGCGCCGGCGGGCAGCACAGAGCTGTGGCTGGCACTTTATGCTAATGGCCCAGTCATTATTTATTCCTGTGGAATTCATTACAATCACATTATTTGGGATCGGCTCATTTAGCGTCACAAATGCATCCATAGGATTTTTTTATTGTGACCTAATTAATAATGAATGATTCTATTTTAAAGCGCTGCTGTACGCTGGGTTTTAAGGCAGACTTAAGAGTTACAGGAAGGGATGCCGAAGTGGCTCGGTTGCTCCTCGCAGCCTGGCGAGAAACGCGCAAGAAAGTGCTGCCAGCATGGCCGTGGTGCCCGACGGGCACTGGCCAAGCACAGTGCTGCGCCACAAAAAAACCAATTTTTTTTTGCGACAGCAGCTTGGATCTGATTTTTCTACCGAAAACAAAGTTCAGTGCTGACCTTGTCTAAAGCACGAAAAAACTTCAACGGTGTTCTGAGAAAATGATGTCTCAGTTTTCATTGATCAACCATCTTTGGGTACCATAAAGTTGTGCAGGAGGAGAAAACCTTCACTGACACCAATCTTGTTTTATTAAAAAGTAAATATTTTCTTTGGACATGGCACTTTTAAAACAAAACAAAACAAACCCTACCTTATAGTTTGTTACATGAATTTCCCCAGAATATTTAAAAACCAGTTTTATTTTGAAAGCACTGATTTGACTTTGACTTTTCTCATCTTTGTTTCCTTCTCAGCACAAGAAACATGGCAATACCCAAAAGAATACAAAGACTCTTTTTTTTCCAAGAAAGGTCTCACCCACATCTTTCGCCAAGTCCCACTTTTAAGACACCCCCATGCCATCCACCCGAAAGGCATCAGCTCCCTTTCACACTGCCCCCCAGCCTGGGTAAGTGTGTGCGGCGCCACAGCATGGGAATGGCTTTGCCTTTCCCTACTCAATGCCTTCTTGCTAAAAACGTTTCAGTTCAGCAGCAGGGATGTCAAGTCACACTGATGTCTGAGTTAAATCCATTCCTGGAGGGGCAGTGCAGGGAAGTCCCTGTCCCAGCTGCACAGGGTGATCTGCACCATATTTTTGGATTTTCACAAAGTCACATCATTTCAAATCTCCCCGCAGACCATCAAGCACGTTTTACAGATGTCTGTGAAGGCCTATAAATAGTTATAATGACATAAATAGTATTTTTTGTGAATGCAAACCTACTCCCCTGTACCTTGCAAGCGCAGCCATTTACATGACGGGACTGTAAGGGGACGATGTGGCAGGTTTGGGTTCAGGCACGCGGGGATGTTTACTGGGAAGCGATAGCTTCTGCCCTTCCTCCCGTCCGGGGTACGCCCGTGCCCCTCGGCAGCATTCAAGGGGGCTTGTCTCCCCGTGGGGTGGCAGGAGCTGGGCACGGCCGAGGCTGTGGCTGCCACCTTGGTTTGCATGTTTGGTTTGCGGCAGGGAGCCACGCTGCTCCCAGCCCACTCTGGCGGGCGATGGCTCCGCTCCCCCCTGTTTTCTATGGAAAGAGTCAAGGGGACTATTCACATGCTAAAACTGATCACTAAATATGTAGCCAAGCTCTGCCTGAGGTACCTTAACAGCTCTGCCTGCCTGGTGAAACCAGCAGAAGACCACAGCTTCTCTCCACGTATCTCCCTACAGCCTGGAGTCCAACGTAAAACTCATCAAATGCAGTCCATACCTTTGATACAAGCACTCTAGAAAACTTCATTTAAGGCTTTTAAGGCTAACCCCATGACCTTGTTTCATTTTATTATAATTAATAGTTATAATTCAGGTAGTCAGCCTGAACTAAAAGATGACAGCAAAAACTGTCTGGTTGCAGAGTATTTTTTATATATTGCTGATGTTGTGACACTTTATGATTCTTCCTTTAGCATAGTCATTGTTGGCATCGTGTCTGAGAGCATGACTTTCCTGCTCAGCTCTACTGAGTTTCAGGTCAGTGTAAGACCTTAAATTCTTTTTGAACGGCTGCAAGAAAAACATATGAAGGACTCGCTAACATAAAGCTATAGAATACGTTACAATAATACTCCAGTACCATATTTCCTACTAAAATGTTGCAGACAAGGAGGACTATTTCAAATCTGTTTTGTTCAAGGCGGGACATTTTAAATAGCAAGGGGAAGGGCTCCTCTCCTACTCTCTTGGCAAAACCTCCTGACAGTGCCTTCCAGGTGGGAAGTCCTCCTGGGCAGGCAGGATCTCCTGCCCGTGGCCGTGCCAGCACGTGCCGCTGCAGGGCTGCCACCCAGCTCTGGGCTCCTCCCACGCATCTCTACTGGCTTTAGGTCCTTATGGAGCAAAGTACTTAAGCAAAAGCTCTCTTTAAGGCTATGAGTAAGAGCCTTTTGTGTCAGGGTGGAAAATACATGCTTGTAAGTTAGGATGTGCCTATGCAGCTTGCTCCATTTGGCCATACAATACCTCTTTTCAGGTATAATCCACTTAGGACAGTCCCTCAGGAATATTTATACATAGAAGACACGGGTGCCCTTGGGGCATGGAGATTTCCAAGGAAAAGATGAGCTAATTGAAGGCCTTAAGCTCGCCCTTCAGCTCACAAGAATGTAAAATTAATCGTTAGGAGCATCACTGTCACCTTGGTGTACACAGGAGCTGCCTGTTCTTGCCGAGGAGATGGCGGCGAGCTGTGTGGTAACACCTACCTCTCAGGAGCATCACAAAGCTAAATGCATGTTCACGAGGTGCCTTCAAACCCTCAGATGGAAACCCACCGACCATGGTCACTAAAGCACTGCTATCACTCTGAGAACACAGTGTCAGAAGCTCACGAGGTCCTTCTCCAGCGGGGCCACACATCACTCATCTATTTGTTTTTTCTAAATAAACGTATTCTAAATAAACATGAATAAGCTACTCTGGCTGGTATGTAAAACCACATAACACACACACGTTTCGTTGGTAGACAAGTCAAGCGATAGTCTTTGTTGTGTATATATATGTACACGCATATATATACACAATTCTTTACACATACATACATCATACACACAGATACACACACACAATTCATTATTTTATCGGAGAGCTACATGAAGTTGGTGTGTGTGGGGAGCACACGTGTGTTTTGTTCACTTGCGTGATCACTGCAGCAAAACCCACATTAAATAGGGAATTGGAGACTGTGTTTCTCTATATGAAATCCAGCTTGATTTTAGAGCAAATACTGCTACAGAAAGTGCTGCCAGAGTCTGCGTTGCACAACTCCAGACAGCATCTTTCATAAAACAATTATATTTTTTCTAGATGTAGTGAAAGCCTTGAAAAAGTTTACTTGATGTCTAGCCAAGCAATGCTGCATCTTCAAATTTGAAGGAGAGCTCAGAAAGTTAGTTTTTTATTATTCTTCATTTAAGTATTATTTTTTAATTGCAGCGTATTAAACATAAAATCTGGTACAATCTTTAAAAATAAATAGGACCTAACTATAAATGGGC